GTTGTTGATGACAATGCAACAGCTGGGGCCATTGCACCGATTGAAGATTCTTGTAAATAAGGGTAATAGGTGATGATAATATCAATTGATTTTTCTAATTTGTAATTTTAAATGAGGACCATTGTACATTTCCTTTGGTGTTGAAAACTGCCCCCATTAATTTTGACTTTCACGGAATATTGTTGGATAGTACCCCTTGCTTGCAAAACTAGTCGATTAACTAGACATGGGCCTGCACGAAGACCATACTAATTAAGGCAACATGTACAAGGATCTACCCCCAGTCATTTTGAAAATTGTACTTTTGATACCCTTAATAGACTGTATGTGTTACAGCGAGGGTCAGATGATGATAAGATCGCCGTCTGCTAAGATTGGAGATGGGTGGTCGAATGAGCTGGCGAGATACCAGGAGGTCAAAACTGAAGAACTAGAAGCTGGGACTGGAGGACGAGAGATCAAGACGAGTAGAAAGACGAGTGCGATTTTCGGACTATGGAGATATAAGATTGAGAAGCTGGAGAACTACTTCGTGGTAACTCCAGCTTCCTTAAGTACACTAGACTACGTAATGAATTTCAACTGAGGCTTTGGGATCATTAGGTTATGACTCCAGCCCGTCTAACTCTAGCTTTCCGAGTTTCCCGGAAACTTAGTTATTGAACCTTCCCCGAGATCCGTTTCCCGAGAATCTTCTCCTTAACCCTTGTCCTTGAACCTTTTCCTTAGAACCTTATCCTTGAACTTGCCTCAAGGATGCCTAGCCATAACAGTATGGTACAGGAGATTTTTTTTTCCGCATCAGACTTTAATTACATATGCAGCTATCTAGCTATGACACAATATCAAAGAAATGTAGAGGAAAGATGACTCAATTTACAAGAGGAGCACTCATGCCTCAGATTTCATTTGCAAGTACCACTACAAAGTTACAGTGGCTTTTTCTTCACCCCAAATCAACCCTCATCTGTGAATACTGTTGTAATAAAACAGTTCTGCATCAGTATCAATGCAGTATCTCTATCTGTGCACTACTACATGTTACTCTTAATTCACTTGTAACTAGATTCCATGTTTAATGTAGTCATGTCTGTTTCTTGTCTTAGTTGCGGGGGCTCACTAAAACACAAGGCTAAAACATCATTTGGATAACATTGTCAAGTTGAGACATTGGCACATACCTCATCAATCCCCCAACTTTTGTCATACTAAGTTTGATTCCTGTATATAAATGTAGTCTCTCCTACCTCCAGAGATCTTCAGTTCATTGTATTAACTGAATATCTCTGAAGGTAAGTCCTCTTACAGTAGTCACTCTAATATCATAGTTCATTGTATTAACTGAATATCTCTGAAGGCTATATTCATTGCTCCTCTTGTCAACTCCACAGCTTCACATCTAAAGCCCCGTTCACCTGCTCCTGCGCTCGAATACCACTCTTCCTTCCTCTCCAACAGCCCGAAATCCCTCTCGATCTTTAACCTCACAACAAATACCCACCCAAGGGAACGTCTAAAAACCCCGAGTTATCCAGACATGCCTCTGTCATCCATCATTTTTTCTCTGCACAAAATGTAATCTGAGATGTCTCCTTCACAAGTGGAGTAGGTGCCTAGGCTACTCAAACTATACCGGAGAACACCACCAGGAGGCGGACCACAACACCTTCCATCGTCTGCTTGTTTTTACAGTGTCAGCTACACTCTCGCAAGCAAGGTCTTGGCGCGCACAAATCTCAATCCGTAAAACTCTTGCCAAAATTCAAAATTTCACGCCCTTCGAGGTTATATATCCTTCCTTTGAATCATCTTGTCAACTTGTCCTGAATCCTGTCACGCCAATCCTAATGAACAGTCTCCCATATTTGTGCGCCACGCTTTGCTTCCTCTGTCGGGTGTAAATATCGGCGTGGGCGTGTATTTGGTGGTCAACTGAGGCCAAAGAATAGTCGACAAGAGGTGTGGTTATTGAAATGAGGATGAACTTGGTCGCAGTTGTAGACTCGATGAGACTTCGGCAGAATTCAGTCTCGAGGGTGATAATTTGTTGTTGTAGATTATTTTGAATCATTGCCTCGTAGACCAACTCCATTGGTATTGCGAAATTTGACTGAACTTGGCTCTGGGAGAATATTTCACTCCCTGGTTTGTAGAGAACACCGCATACAGGTGTTCAGTCTTGCCCTCTGTACAGGACAATAGATGAGCCGGGGGAAAAGGATGATCCTATTGGAGGGTGGTGATGTATATGGTTGTATACACTTGGTATCTTCAATTTAAATGGTTAAGACTACTCAGGGGGCTTAGAATATACTTGGGTGATTATGGCAATAAATGTTACGGGATGCAAATGGTATCTTATTGTGTTATTATATTATGTTATGTTACAGGTTATGTTCATGATAATTAACCAATCCCACATACTTCCAGATAGCGCCGTAGCTAGTCTCTTTTAGGAGTGATCTACGGGTGAGTGTAGCAATCGGTGGTATCTAATTTATCACTAACCTGTTTCCATTTCCCTGGCTCTGCGTGCTACACTACGTGGATGACAATTTACTACTAATGTGAAAAGCGCATTCATGACAGATCCTAATATGAGCAATGGAGGGAGCTAAGACTAGTCTATACAGAGGACATAAAGGACAGGACACAATACTTTAAACTAGCTTCCCAAGGAAAAATTAGTTGTTTGTTTTGTTTGTGTTTTTATTGTGCTACTTGAGTCATAGACTATCTAGCACATTGGGGTCCTCTCTGACCCAGGCCACACCTTGTACAGTGCTCCTATCTTCTTTTGTTACTTGAAAGATCATTGATATATTCCCCTTGATGAATAGCCATTCAGCTCAGTATTTACCCGTGGAATTCAGCCACCTTTTCCACGGAACCTTCTACCCAAAAAAAATAAAAATGGTAGCAATGGAAACTGCGTGCGCGGGAAAAAGTCTCAAAAAACCTGCAGCCCCAGCCAGGCGGGGCCTAGACACCGGGACTACATGAGGTGCGCATATTCATCTATATCTCCCTTCTTTATAGCAGTCAAGGTCGACTTGATCCAATCCGCCATCTCCGTATCGGGTGCTGGGTACGCTCCGGAAACTCATCGGATGGATTTCCTCCATGATCAAGGGTTGGTGATGAGAAGGGCTCCACCCCTACCATCTGATCTGATCGTGGTTTACTTCATGATAATGGTGATAGGGGAATGTGTTGAGAGATGAAGACGATACAGACCACGAAAGCGATTGGGAATCCTCATCGAAGTGAGGACTTTGTTATTCAATCTCGGCTCTGCAGACTCTACAGTGAGAGCTGGAGGTTTGTAGGGGACACCACTGACAGGTGTTGAGAATAGTCCCCCAGGAAAAATTATTTACTACTGTTAGAATTTAGAATATTTATCTATTTATATTATTTAATGTTGTGCCCGTGCAAAGCACATGTGTTCCTCACGTACCAGTTAGCCCAGTCTAAATTAAACTACCCGACGTGTTGGCGCCCACATAGACCCACCAAAGCAAACAATGACTAGGATTTTATCATCCTACGCTCGAAGATTATAGTGTACATGAAGGTCGTCCGTCTAACAAATCTCATGCTATGCAATTGGTACTAAATCAAGAAAAGATTTTACAAAACAAAATAAAAAATAAAAGGAGAAAATTGTTTACATCAGATCGTGATTTCGTTCGAATCAGACTGCTCGTTATGCTAGAATTTAGAATATTTGGGGCTGTCAAGTAGGCCACGTTGTCGATACACACGTGACTACAAATTATGTACTTAGTTTCACTTTGGTAGTTACTTAAATCAATGCACTCTACAATTTCAATGACTGAGGGGTCATTATTTCCTTAATAATTCCATTCAGTTACCAACTTCAAATACCTCTGACTTCTTTAAACCTTTTACATATATATCCAGTAGGTAGCCTGAAGCGCTACCATATTACCCATTCTAACCTCTATAATACACACAAGATTTTGTCGGGAACATAGATGAAATGGAGGGCCCGTACATCCACAACATCCTGTATCTCCATTTCCAACATAGTTCACCACAGATTGAAATTAAAACTACCTCTAATCATAAGGTAACCCAAGTGCCTATGCTTAAACTGTGATATACAATCAAGGTTATCACCTACGAAATCAAAGAGTCAGACAGGATTTGATGGCTTGTAGTACACCTCGATCATGGCCTAACCTTCGAAAGGTATGTTGCTAGGTGTACCAATAAATCAATGCACCTAGTAAAATAATTTCGACATCCTACTCAGTGCACCCAAATACCATGGCCAGACTTACTAAGCAATATCAATCACACTGTAGTCTTTTCCATTGTGTTACATGCTGCAGAAGTCCGGTTCCGAGGGCCAACTAGGAAAATTATTGGAGTGTTGCACAAAACTCATATGGGAGACAGAGCAAAGCCATCGAATAAGCTTCTGTGTCCAGAATCTGCGCTGCCTTCCTAACTTGACGCACCATGTTGATCACAGCTCTGAGAAGAAAGACCGGCATTCCACCAGCACATATCCTGCTGGAGTAACTTAGACTTAAGACAGCTGCACAAAACTGTAGGCTAGATGAATACCATCTATTGGAAATTCTGACTCTCGAACTTGGGACTCAACCATTATCTGTTTCGTCTCAGGTTCCCGGCAAGATCGACTTTCTCTACACATGTCCTGTGTCACGGTTCGAGTGTCGATGCTGGAGCAATCAGATATACGAAAGTAGGTTATAATTTTCTCTATGGCTAACTATCAGAGTATTACTTTAACTATTTATACATTTATGAAGATCTCTAGAATACTCGTTCTTGACTGATATCTGCTTCTCGTATATTCCAGTCATAGTAGTTCCCAGTCTTGCTACCAATTACTAGAATATTCCAGTTACAGCTGAACTGATCTGGAATAAAGCTAGACTACTGTAGAATTATAGAAGCACGTGAATACAATCACGTGCTACACAACAATCGTCTCACAAGCCGTTACATCCCGAGTGCGCTGGGCCAACCCTCCAGTCCCTCAAGGGCGGCTCCGACCCAACACATTGGACCCAACCCTATTCAGACAACTGTTGGAACTGGGCTGTGGAGGTCTAGGCCCCCTTCCGGTATCCCCTTCAAGTGAAGATCTAGACAAGCAAGCGGAGGTGCTCGTGCAAATTATACAGGACGCATATTGCGGTGCTGCAAAGCGCGCTCTGGGTGCTGGACATGGCAATCCATGGTGGAACAATTCATGCAGAGAGGCTAGGAAGGGCTACAAGATAGCTCTGCGGTCTTCTTCCAATGACAGTAGTGTTTATGATGCCCAAAAGGCCTATAGGAAAACAGTACAAATAGCAAAAAACAATTTTTTCAAGACCAAGTTGGAGAGGGCCCGCACGGCTAAGGAGATATTTGGAATAACCAAGTGGCACAAATCTGCGGGAACTTATCGTTCACGCCCGCTTAAAGACTCCCGCTTCCCAGAACAACCTCCAGTCCAGAGTCTTGCCGGAAAAATGGAGGTTCTTATGCAAAATCTACTCGCAAACCCCTCAGTAGTTGGTGACATCCCTATGGATTCTCCAACAGTTTCTTCAAACTCACCGCCATTCCCATCTTCTACCGACGAGGAAATCCGAGACTCTATCCTACGTGCTGGCAACACCGCTCCTGGTGCAGACGGAATACCAACGGCCATTATCCGACGCACGTGGCTTTTGATTGAACAACAAGTACTCTCTCTGTTTAACGCGTGCCTTTCGATTGGGCACCATCCTGAATGCTTCCGGAAGGCCATTCTGATGATGATACAAAAGCCGAACAAGATAGACAACTCTTCGCCCCGATCTTACCGCCCAATTGCACTACTTTCTGTACTTGGCAAAGGATTAGAGAGATTTATTGCAAAAAGAATGGCTTGGACTGCCATCCGGCATAAAGTGGTATCGAGCCAACAATTCGGCGCTCTCCCAGGCAGATCGGCTGTTGACCTAACTACCTGCCTTACCCAAGATGCAGAGAAGGCACTTTACGAGGGTTCTACAGCCAGTATGCTCACCTTAGATGTCAAGGGAGCCTTCGACGCCGTATATCCGGGACGACTTGTCCACCGTCTACGAGAGCAAGGATGGCCTGAAAACCTGGTGCGCTGGGTGTGATTCTTTGCCTCACGCCGTACGATGTGCGCCTGTCTCGATGGAGAAACAGGCCCCTCACAACATGTGGACTGTGGTCTTTCACAAGGCTCACCTGCCTCGCCCATCCTATTCATGCTCTACATTTTACCGCTCTTCAAGATGAGAATGAAGAGGGAAAGATTCGGCTATGCAGACGATGTTGCTCTCCTTAAGACAGGGCCTAACCTCCTGAGCAACTGCACAGCTCTCTCTCACTCACTGGCGGAAGCAATAGAGTGGGGGGACAGGGAAGGCATTACTTTCGACCGAGAAAAATAGGAACTACAACACTTCTCTCGCAAATGGGCTGACTGCGACCCTTTGTCAACCCCTTCCGTCTCCTACAGAGATATAAGGGTCTCTGAGCATTCAAATAAACCCTGTTGTGACACTGGCTCGGGGTCTACTTTGATCAAACCCTCTCATTTAAATGGCATGTCCATATACTAGCTGAGAAGGCTCTTGAAGTTCCCAACGCACTCCGATCTCTTAGCAACACCGTTCGAGGAGCGCCCCTCCAACTTATCCGACAAGCCATATTAGCTTGCACACTTCCCATAGCCTACTATTTCGCATACACTTGGTGGCCTGGCCGCACCAAATACAGCAATAGACTCACCTCGAATCGACTCGAAGGACACCTATCCATCCTCCGCAAAGTTATTCTAACGGGGGCCAGAGCTATCCTACCTGTATATCGGACTACGCCAATCCCTATTCTGTAACGTGAACAGGTCTCCTCCCTCCTGATTTAGAGCTGGGCTCTTAATCAAAATTCGCGGCATTGCGCATCCAACGCCTGGACCCTAGACACCCACTCCGGCAAAGAGCCACATGGATCCGGGCACACAATCGACGAGTCTCCCGTCTTGCGGGCTGGGTTCTCCAAAATCCGAACACTGAAACAATCGATCCTCTGATTCAGCCGCCATGGCTCAAAAGTGAGACACGGTACAATAGTGTAAGGCGAGTTACGCACCCTCCCATTAATCTTCCTTTTGGCATCCCTTTCAGAGATCTAGCAGTCTATACAGATGGCGCTCGATCTGAGATAGCAGAATCGCCCAGGACAGGCGGTGGAATTGTTATCTTTCAAGCTGGCCTGATGGTTTACCGCGAGGGTCTGTCCCTTGACTCGACGCTGTCATCTTTCGACACGGAAGCGACTACCGTCAAAGAAGCCCTCAAAGCTGCGCTTTCCCTACTAACAGCACGCTTAGAAAATATTTGGATACTCACAGATAACCTGGAAGTAGCTCGCCTTTTTTTTCAGTCCCCAATTTGCTCGTCGCAAGTTGTTTTTCAACAAATACAAGCCCTCTCCCAAGACTGGCCTCTTCGCAACCGGCACCCACACATCCCTCCCGGGAAATTCAAGGCTTATTGGATCCCAAGCCACTCTGATATATTGGGAACGTTTTGTCCGACGCCTCTGCCCGGGAGGGGCTTTCAAAAACCCCGCCTATACCCCGTGGGCACGTTTCTTTTGATACCGCGAAAAATCGCATCAAGGCAGAAGTATCGACGGTTATGAAAGACTACTGGGACCGACATGCCCCAGTATCCTATAGGGAGCTTGCCATTGACTCATACTCTCGTAACCCTAAGGAACTCTCACTAGCCAGACCATTCCTCTCTAGACTATACGCTGCCCGCTCAGGACATGGTGACTTTGCAGAGTACCACCGCTGTTTCAATCACGAGGGCGCTAAGCTTAATTGTGGCTGCGGACAGCTCAAAGCCCCATTACACTTCCTAGAGTGCCACCTAACCACTCATAGACCTCCTCGAGCTCCAGCATCTTCAAGGGACCCAAAGAAATTTTTGCTAGGAACCTAGGAAGGGGCCCTACGTGTAGCAAAGTGGCTTTCTATTTCAGAGTTTTACATAAAGACCTGCCCTAGAAACCCCAGAGAAGAAATAAAAAGGTCTTTAACTCTGCCCTAACTCTGAGCCTTGCATTATGGATGGATGGTGCGGTATTTATGAATGGATCTATTAGTAGTATCTCGAGAGTGGTTGTTATACATCAAATGAGTAAAGAGCCTCGGGGACTGGTTGAAAAAGTGCAGGTGCTATGCTAAACGCAATCATGTAATTAGAGAACTGCCCTGCAAACCTAGTTAGGAAGTAGCAAGGGCGAAGCCACCAGGGCAGTAAGCACTGGCGTCCATGCCTCTAGGTAGTTTAGTGGGTAGTAGGGACCTAAGTTAAGCTTGGCGCCCTGACGGACGAAAAATAGAAAACAATCAATCAATCAATCACACAATTTTTGAGAGAATTCGAATTTTCGAATCTTCACCCTTCCCTCATCTCCATCCCTCTCGCACTCGTCGCATTCCTTCAATAAATTGTCATCGAGTCACTGGCATCTTAACCATGCCACCTGTTCGTAAAAAGCGTCCCAACGCCAAGTTGGACAACACGAGAATCCGCCCGAGGGCTCTCGAAAATTTACCTGACCTTGCCCAGTCTCCGAAATGCGCGGAGATGAGCAAGGTCTCAACTAAAGGGAAGGAAAAAGCCCTCCCCGCCGTCACTGAGCCCGATACTGACATGATCGGGTCTGTTGAAATTGTTGAGGAATTTCCCCAACTATCCTCCGTCCCTCACGGGACTAGAGAATCGTCAAAATCTCTTCCGACAGCGTCAAAACCGTCGGAAAACGCTGCAGACAAAGCAGCGCCAAAATCAACGTCGCAGCCAGAAGCTGCCATAAAAGCAGAGTGTCCCCTAGAGCTCCGACCAATTGTCGAAGCTGAACAACGACGCGCCGCCGAAACAGCGGCAAATCTGGCCCTCTATTCCGCCACCATCTCTGGCGTCGAAGCCACCCTCCTCTCTTTGACCAACGGGTCAAATAGACAATTTGTAGACTCGATGAGAGTCTACTTACGCGCCGCAATTGCGCAATACATGGCCACGGGCCCGGCCATCATGCCACCCGTCCTCCCTCCTCGCCCTGTGAACCCAACCCCAAGGGCTCCAGAAGCCAGGAGCAATACAACTCCCGCCGTCCCAGTGCTGCCTGTAAAAAGCACCTGGGCCACGGTGGCCAAAAATGGACTGCGACAAAATGCAGCTCCTATAGCAAAGGCTGTGCCGCGACCTGCGGCGAGAGCCCAAAAGAAAGAAGCTCCCAAGGCAAAAGTCGATAAGTGTAACGGCTACAAAACCGATATTTCCTGTAGCCAGTACTGGCAAGTACTGGCGTACAACCACCGGAGAGCGGGCAGGCGCAAAAGCCACGTAAAAGATACTAGAATCTCCTAAGAAGGGACTAGAAAAGTCTCCATGTGAGTAAGACTGATACTGAACCTTGGAGAAGCTGCTAGAAATGAGCTGACCATGGAGGGAAGAACTTAGAATGTAATAAATCTGTATATATACCTGGATTAGTATGTAGAACTTGGGTCTTCATACTTGAATTATAAAATACCATTATCCATATAAATGCTCCTTGCTTTCTATAGTTGATCTGTGACAATAAGCGACTGTTCCTTCGCCTGGAAAAGGAGCACCCATGGCGGAATCTCTCAAACAACATTGTAAAAAGTAAGGTAGCGGACACGCTTAATCTCTCTTACAATGATATAACCTCGATTCATCGACTAAAGACCGGCTTTGCTATTATAGCAAAGAACGAAAAAATACGACAAGAGATCCTAGATGTCTCTCCGAAGCTGGCAAGTGAAAACGCCAAACTCGAAGCATCTTCGGATCTTGTCGCCTTACAGATACCGAACGTACCTGTAAGTATCGTTTCATAGTACGGCCCCGTAGCGACCGATGCTGCAAGTGTCACCGCTGAGATCTTCCTTACGACCAGCGCGAATCCAATCCAGGTCCAACCTCATGGGACATGTCGGCCTGGATCGCCTTATCGAAACTGGCATGCCCTTTTTCACCGGGACGAAGCCCCTCGTGCGGGCTTCCGCCTTTTTGACGATTCGGGTATGGCTACCATCCATAAGCCTCATCGATCAATTGAACAGTGCAAACACTGTTTGGGCTTCCACGCCACTCGTGGTTGCTCCCGCGCTCCGGCTTGCTGGAACTGCGGATCAAATATGCACTCCGAAACAGAGTGCAAGGCCCTCACACGCTGTCGCAACTGTGGGGGACCTCACCGATCGGATTCTCGGGCCTGCCAAGTCAGACCAAAAAAATCCGGACCGGTGACCAAAGAGCAGCTCGCGTGGATTCGCCACATCGAACAAGGGGAGTTCGCGAAGGTGGCACGAGCCAGGGCTGCAGCAAAAAAGGCCGAAGAGGCGATCACCGCCGCGGCGAAGGATGTCTCGATGGCCGAGGCAACAGGTTTCGGAGCTCTGGGATCTGAAGAAGAAGTTTGAGGACACAGCAACCTCGACGATGTCCCCTTCTGGGACATCTCCTAACAATTAGCAGGATACCGGCTGGATAAAAGGTGCCTGCTCCCCCATAGTCTTAGACTCAGTAGGGACTATAATAATAATAATAAAAAGGTGCCTGCTAACTCATCTCTTGCTCTCAGCGGAGATTGAATAAATTTTGTCATTTGGAAGGTGTGACGGACGAGGGAATGTGTGAGGAGCGCATTTACTGGGTCCAATATGGAGGAATCTTCTGGTATTCGGAGTTGTTTTGATTTTTGTGACTTTTCGTTCTTGTTCAATCAGCTGCACTTTTGGTAGCGATTCACGAGGTTGGAACGAGTTAGGCTGTAGGAAAAGTTACAGGGAACCCTGCCGGATCCGCCGGTCCTTGACCCAATGTGGAAAACAAAGCTTTAGCTTAGGACCGAATGTATAAAAAAAACCCCCCCGAGTGCGCTAATTGCGCCTACTGTCGCATATACGTTTAGATATTTACGTACTACAGTGTATCTTGGCTCATCATGGTAGATGAGAGGTGGCTGGTCATCACTAGATTTGACAGGAACATGAGACTAGCGGGAATTTCTCCCTTAGATGTATATGTAAGTCCAATGTTCCCATAGT